TTGGATATATATCCATATAGTCCTATAAAAGTTTTCCTGGGGACATGGTGCGATAAACAATGCTACAATGCTACAATGCTACAATACAACCATGCAACGTGCCCTTGTACGCCATCGTCCATGCCTCCCACCCAGTTCAGAGTCGCAGATAAGAACGATGGAGAGAGCTGAGATCCGGTGAGAGTATCAGGAACTATATATGAAAATGAACGAGGAGGCTAGAACCGAATGGATGGATGGATGGATCGATGGATTAGCGGAAGATCGGACGGACACTTGGCCCCCTTCAGATTCTAAATAATAATATTATTATTATGAGTTATTAAAATTAGATTTTTAATAATAATAACAATAATAATAATAATAATAAGTTGAAGAAGAGAAAAAGGTTTTATGGATAATGTCTGCAGCCCCCCCTTTGATGAAAGAACGCTTTGGTTACAGAGGCATTTTTGGGAGAGAAAGGACGAGAAGAGGAGAAGGGGTTGGAGACATTGCGCTTGAGGCCATGAGGCTTTTGTTATTGTTGCAGATGCAGTTGCAGCTGCAGCTATGTTTAGGAAATTAAAACTGGAAGGAGAAAGACTTTGTTTTAAAGGGGGGAGAAGAAAAATGAGAAGGATGTTGAAAATAAATAGATAGACATTAAAGGAAAAGAAATACCTTAAAAAAACCAGTCTAATACGTCCATTTCATTGGCATCCATCGTTAACCAGATCTGAAAGAAACGTGCAACAAGAAAACACTTCCCCCCCTTTCCCCGCGTGTGGTGCGATATGATAGAAACAGGAAAGGAAACATAAAAAGTTAGAAACAGAAAAAAATAAAGGGAAGGGCGCGAAAATTTGAGCAAAACCAGATATGAGGGAAGTCGGAAAGTGAAAGGGACAGAAGAAGAACAAAAGTTATGAATAAGTAGGGGAAAAAAGACGAGAAACAAAGGATTAAACGACCCTAGCCAGCTCTTAGAGTGGAAACAAGCATTATAAGAAAAACGGATAATGGAAAAAGGAAGCTCCTCTTGGGCGCGGGCGGCAGGCGGATGATCAAGAATATCGAATCAGCATCACGGAAAAAGAGGTTACTAAAAAGGAAAGAAGAATATATGTGTTTCTTCTCCTTCAAACCCCAATATTCCACCCTTTTCTTTTTCTTTTGGCATTCCTGGTACCCTTTCATAACAAAGTGTAAATTCCCCACAAAACCGCAAAAAGAAGTTGGCAAGAAAAAATTTACTGGGACGCGCACTGCATCCGCTCGGCGCCGGGTGGGATTTCATCATCTTCCTCATCACCCATGTGTGCGGCTCCCTGTGCTCTCGCCTGGCCACTATCCTCAATATCCTCGAGGTGGAAATCTTCTACCATGGAGTCGGCAGGAGGCTGTGGTTGTGGGAGACGAGGTGGCAGCACCTGTTCCAGAAGTTCAACATTACGAATCTGTTCCGCATCGGGGAACTTGACATTGAATTGAATATAGAGGTTGCCGAAATCGTGGTGGCGGAAAGAGGGCATTCCCTGGCCCTTGATAACCTTGATTTGTCCTGTAGAAAGCAAGGGTAAGAATGTTAGCTTTGCTTTGAAGACATATGCCGGAAATGGACAGGGATGTAGGGCTTGGGAATTTGGGTAAAAGGCTGGGTATCAAGGATGTGCGGCGGGAACTTACCAGGCGTGATTGGTTCGCCAGGCGCAATTTGTACTGTTAACCATCGGTCGTCCAGATGCTCGACATTGATTGTACCGCCAGCAAGAGCGGTTAGGAGGTAGATTTCAGCCTGGTAGAAGAGGTCGTCATCCTTCCGCTGGAATGGGTGGATGTGGTTGCTGATCTATTTCGAAC